GCCTGCACAATATGAAGCTTTGGAACAGCAATCTCATTGACGACCTTGTAAAATTATGTTAGTGTGGACGATATGTGGACAAAAAGCTGTTATGGTAATGTATACATAACACAGATACTCTGAAACAAAAGTCCATATGACCGCCGAATCAAATCATAACATTGTAAACCAAAACTGGTGAATTCATTTTTCAGAACAAAATTTTAATTAGTAACAAAAAGCAACGATCCAACCAGTTTTAGCATCACTATTACTCATTTAGATTAATACCATTGATAACGACAAAGAATTATGGTATGCTTGGAAACACAGTATGTTATGCTTGGAAGTTGGAAAGTTATCTAAGCATATGGAGGACATTCATATTGCTCTTCAGTCTCGGCTAAATACTGCATACATTGATAAATCTTGGCAGTCAGTCTTTTTTTCTTTCCCTGTAACTGCTGGTACCATGTTCACTTCCAAATGGCACCGCGATTTCCTCTTTGATAAATGCTTGATTGGTAATGACAATTTAAGTTTGAGTATTTTTCTGTTTTGGGTTCCAAAGAAATTATTTTCCAACAAAATGTTCTACGTACATGGTTCCTTTTCTTGTGTTGAAGATTCCTCTTCGGCGCACATAAAACAAAACTCCTATCTTTCATTTTAACAATCAGATGGCTGTCGAGGTTTGATTTACAAACGGCAAACCAATTTCCGCGAAAATTGTTTACCAATATCCGTCGAGACCAATGCTGATCATTTACAAAATGCATCCTGTATACTGTTTACACCCAGACATGAACGCAACTTTCATGAAATATTTTCGGTGACAGTTTATGGTTTGGTTCTAACATTAATTGATGCGGTGTTACAGCATTATAAATGTGTAAACTTTAAACAGTATGAATAAATGAGCTCACTACATCGTTCTGTTAACACAAACATTAAATATTGTCTCACAAGCATATTTTGCTGTCCTTACATATGTCTTGTCACTGATGATCTGATCCTGATACCAAGATGACAGTTCAAACCATGTCATCTTAAAGACTTGTGAACCTTGGTCAAAATGCTTCTAAGTTCTCTGTGTATGATACTCTACAATATGGGCCACAAGTAGCACTGGATATCTAATGAACATTTGAAAGAAAGAAGAAGTACAAATCACGAACAGCAACTTGTAAATAAATTGCATCTATGACTGTTTTATAACATGATGGAGTATCACCTGAAAACAGAAGCAGGGTAAAAAGGGGAATATTATGTAGCTATAAGATGTTTAAATTTGATGAACAAACACATTTTCAAAGCTTTCATAATATTATATTTTAACAACCACGGAGAGAACACAGATAATAAGAGTTTGTTTTAATGTAAATGCACAATTCTATTTCATTGAGGTGCTGCAGTTTTATTCACTTAAATGATTAATGTAAGTGATGAAATTCCAACAAGAGCGATGCTACATCTTGGTCAGTAAGGGGCTCGTTTTTATTAATAGATTTCAGCAAACTAATCCCAGAAATGCAAACTGAAATCATATACACTTATGATCTTGAAAACACCTGTCTGTTTTGAAAGCAGAATCATGTCAATTTTGAGGTTTTGTGTTCTTTCCTTACATATAGTGTTTTCCTAAATATGTATATAAGATTTGCTTGAGCATAATGTATTTGTGCATCTTGAAAACAAAGTTGATGTTAAAAGCATTGTAGAAACACATTCGTGAAACAACTGGTGCAAGAGAACACTACGTTTTGTATCAAAGTTGTCTGTAAGGTGTTGGCAGTATATTGTAACGGTTGAGTAGTTAGTTTCCGTGTAATCCATATTTAAACAAAGCTAAAATTAGAATGTTTTTGTTGAAATCGCTATAATGTTGTTTTCTACTTTCATCGTCTTCATCTCGTTTTGTTGTTGTTGTAATGAGTAAATTGTCATATTTATAATAAAGATCACCATTTTGCCTTGAACCAGTTTTTATTATACAGACACAGTAATTGTTGGCAATCATAACGTATATCAAAATTGTTTCTATTTTTATATGAACTTCCACATGGTCTCCAGGGGTGGATCCGAAATGTGTGTGTGTGGGGGTGTTTCATCAGCAAATCATTGCTGAAATGTTAACCGGTTTTTTTTCCCGGACACTTGTTTTTGTAAAATCAATTAGGGGGTGGGGGGCTCGTACCATACTGAGGTTTCCCCCCCCCCCCGGATCCGCACCTGGTCTTTACTGAATAGAGGACAACAGGATTTAAACATTGATTGAGAAGTTGTTGACATATCAAGATACTCTGATACAAAACTGTGTTAAGAGTTTAAACACTTTTCTTAACACTGAAGTGCAACCATTTTTTTCATGCAATTTTTTTCGGATGTCTGTTTCTGACAAAAGCTGGTTAGTACCATCAAGTAAACATTGTAAACGTAAATATTTACTTATCGGGTTGAAGTCCAATGACCGGCCAAACACACGCAGTTTTTATCAATAGTTTCAGAGGAGCACACTTAAAATATAATTGTGCTTGTTTTTTGTATTGTTGATAAAACTAACAGGCTTTCATACTTTGCAAAATAAAATCTAAACATGTCTTTGACTGAACATATGTGGAGAATGGGAAAAAGTGGAACAAACAAGAGTAAGAGTTAGAAAACGATTAATAATTTGAAATCAATGGGCAATGATAATTGCTTACATGATAAGGACGATGTTCAAAGCTAGAAGATGGGTAATGAACATTATGTAATGATATTACACCAATGTATTGACTGAGGTCTCTTTTATTGAAGGATTGTAAAGTTTCGTGTCAAAGATATAGAATGAGATTCAATGAAATGTGGTTGTAGATTAATGCAAAAGACCAACACAGATTGTTATTTTTGATGATATAGATTTGGAAATATTTAAATTTTAGAAAGCTTTCTTGTTTGATTTGTTGAAACACCAGGTGTCTTTTTGCAACACTGATCATATCTCAAGGGATGCTTGTGCAGTGCACAAAAGAACGTGAAAGTATCAGGCGACTGCACATCCAATTTGTAAACATATATATTTTGATCTATACATGTAGTTACTGATTCAAGATGGTTCATGTGAACCATCTTGGAAGCAGACAATATATCTGAAGATTATTCATCTTTGATGTAATCAACCCGTTCATGAATTTCTGTTACAGTTCATAAACCGATATGCCAGAAATCATTCAATTTTGTAGCAAAGTTCCTTTTTAGAGTAAATGATGCATCCACATGGATTGTACTAAACTGTGTTGAAACTATTAGATATGCAAGTGTGCCTAAAGAATATAAATGGTTTATATTTTTCTGTGTAACCTTGTTCAACTTCCAACGTTGATCTATTTTCGCTACAACTCTAGCTAATGATGATGTGTATATTTTGGACAAAAAAAATATATTCTTCTATAAACATTTGCTTTTCTAATAATTTGCCAAAATATTCCCAACCGAAATAAAAGGACTGAAATTAAAGAAAAGAATTTCATTTCAATGTGTTTTATTGTAGCATTGTGTGTTTATTTGATACGGTGACAAACTGGCGCTCATTGGTAGTTCCAGTCCAAAAAGCACTAATATGCTATTTAAAAGCTGTAATTTCAATGTTTTAACCACATTATAACTGTCATTGTGACATTGAAAATTTGATGTAGATCACTAATTCCATGTCAACAAGCGAAAGTAAACAAGAACCCATGATTAATGTAAAAGGGGCGGGGTTGAAGGGCCACGACTCCACTAAATCCCAAATCATTAATCAGTTGATAACAGCTGGCAGCTTAGCTCTAAATTAAAACAACTGAGATGACCGGGGACAAATTCCAGGCTTCCTTTCCATCACACGCCCTGCCAGCCCTCATTCTAATTGGTCTAGAGACGCCTGTGCTGGAAATAATAGAGACAACGTTTCTTTAATATGTTGGAACAACATCTAGTAGGGAGAATCCCAACTTGCACAGGGTTTGTAGTCAATACATTCTCCCTCGGGATGTAATAATGGGGATATCAAAACTCATTTCCAGTCGAATTATGAAATGATACTTATTGTATCGCTTCAGTTGTTGATAGAATATGCAAACAAGTACCTTGTTTCGTCTTCAGATGTCACGAATGTACACGGTGCCCCCTCAAACAAAAACTCGAACTGTTAAAGCGCCCTCCTGTTCACATCTTGCTTTTAGTTATATTTTTTTATTAGGCATAATAATAACGATGTTATCAATATCCCCATTTTTGTAGATTGCTCTTGATTTGTTATCATGTGTTTCTGGTTTAATTGTTTTAATTTAAATCAGTGATGCAATTTGCTTTTATTGTCAACTTTGATCAGGTATTTTAAAAGGTTGCATTCGCTTTTATTTTTTGGAGACGGATCATTTACATTTGGGATATGGAATGTATTCTGAAAACTAAACAAGGAACGGGTTTGGATTCGCAGTTATCCCAACATGAAACCAAAACGGTCCAATCGAGATAAGTTTTTGTGGATAACTTTAAAGCAATAATTCAAATGAATCAAAACAAAATCACATGTGAACAAAAGACTGTTAATAAACCATTTTGAATAGTTTGTACATCCTTTGAGGGTTCACTACAACGGTAACACTGCTTCTTGGAAACATTTCTTTGAAGACAATTTTGAACACGACAAAAGTCCCCAGTGAAATTAATTTTCAGGTGTCGTACAGCTCGTCCATTACACGCTGCAATAGTTACCATTGAGCTTCATCAGTTTCAGAGTAAGCACATTTGTTGTGCTCTGGTAGATCTGAATGGGTTCTGAATTGAATCTTGTGTTCTCTACGCCTCCCCCGTCACAACACCAGAGCACTGTATCTATGGTAACCGACTTGTTTACCTGTCAAAACATCGCTCTTATTGCTTTGCCTCGGCTGGGAGTCGTCATTCCAGCCACTGATTCGCTCTGTATCAAGCCTCGTCCTGGTTTCAGAGATACAGATATTTGGAATAGTCCTTAGCAACATCTTCAGTTCATCATGGCGTTTTGGTCCGAATTTATCGTCATCGTTGCTATCATTTCATCTATCAAAACTGTACTTGGCTCAGGGTTCTGTCCTTCTCGGCTCTCTGTCAAATGCCTCTCTCGGCTCATTGTGGAATGCTCTTGCCCGCCAGAGTGGCAACTGTGGGGGAACGAGTGTTATCGCATCACTCCTTTACCGCATACTAGGGATGACGCCAAGACAGCTTGCCAAGACATGGGAAGCAAGATGGCTGCTCCTCGCTCGCTGGAGGAAATGAACTTTATGGTGGAATTGGCGCAAAAGGTGGACAGTGCATACTCTGCCTGGATCGCTTGCAATGACAGAGAAATTGAAGGATCTTGGGAGTGTGACGGTCAGGAAGGTCGCAAGCCCTTCTTACTTTGGGATGATGGGCAACCAAATGATTTATTCAATCAAGATTGTGTGGCAATAAAGTCGACAAAAAACGGCAAAATGGATGACGAATACTGTTATCGCTCTCACTTGGCGTTTTGTGTTCGTCGAGCTGCCTGCACTCACGGCCTAACCCAACTCCGTCACTGATGCCTCTCTACCGACACACACGGCCGCAGTCTCAACCCAACCTGCCTCCGCGACCGCAACATCCGGGGGTTCATCACCGAGAGCGTGGCCGTCCGTGGCTCAACCGACAAGGGGCCCAGATGTCGCTCTTTCAACAATAACATATCTGCAGAAGGGAATCAGCTGAATCCAGGACACATATCAACAGAGGGCACCGGCTAGTCATGGACATTGAAGTGTGTTGGAAAGGTAGTCTACCAACGTTATTTAGTTTAACACTTACATTTACTTACCCGGGTACAAACATTGTATACGGGAAGTTAGTGATGATGCAATTAATTCGCTTTTCCGGAAAATAAGAAAACGGGCGACCAAACTTTTGTTCGAGAAAGCAAGGTAATCAGTAATCGTTTTTATAGCAAATAAGATTTGATTTGAATTTAAAAACAAATTTTCTTTTGAATTGCTTTAGTCTGACTCGTTTTATTCAAATAGAAATGCACTTTAATTTGTAAGTTTCTGCGTCAGTCAAACCGCGTAATTACAACTATACAAACAATTCAATTTTAAATATTCTTAAATTCTTATGTTTTCGTAGATGCGACTATGATTGAATAGTTCTTGTATTTCCACGTCTGCTTGCAAATTCACATGAAATAACTCAAAAGTTTGTATTGGTTTGTATGTGTTAAAAAATCAAATGATAGATTCAGTCTTAACAGCAAAATATCAAAACTAATACTTAGTTGTCAGATCGATGTGATGTTACGTGAAATTAATTTTAAAACAAGGGGGGCCTGTCGAAGATTTTGGTAGTAGTTTATGAATAATATTGTAACGAAATGTGTCCAAAGATCAGCCAACAGCCGGAATTTTATTGAACATTTAATTATTTGAAACTGTTTAATCACTTAATTTTGGTTCCATGTCTGTTTCCATTGAAAAAAAGTGTGAAATACTTATGCTAGTAAACGTATGTTGAATTTCACACTTGGGAGGACAGTCAAACAATTTTTTTGGTTATGAATGACGTTACTTTAAACAAAATATATATACAAAAATAGCCAACAGCCGGTCATTTAACTACCGATGTCTATGAACCATTTAATCATTTTAATTAAATGGTTTTAGCAGCTAATTTTGGATCCAAGTAGGTTTCAATTTTAATTGGGAATAGGATCGTGAAGATATTTTGTGGTAGTTAATTAAAAATAAGTATTGAAGCTAATTGTAGCTTTGTTTTGCGTCTGTGCTTTCTACCTTTACAAAGCCCCATTTTTAGGGCGTGCCTAAAATGGTTAGACAAGTCAAAATAGTATCAAAATTCTGCGTCAGACAAAACTCGTCTTTTTTTACATTGACAACTCGTTTTCGTTAATCCATTCGACTTCAATGCCAAGACACTAGAATGGCGTACACGTGTAGAGAACACATCTGATCATCTTCAAACTCTTGCTACCGAAGGACTAACGAATCATCCTGTACCTTTTCAAAGTTTTTAGCATTGTAGCAATCAATTCAGCGATCAATGCTCAATTTAGGTCAGGTTCCTGCCACTCTCGACTCACTGCCCAATACTCTTGCCCGCCAGAGTGGCAATTGTGGGGGAACGGGTGTTATCGCCTCACCCCTTCAACCGTACGCATACTTGGGTGACGACAAGACAGCTTAATTTTGCCAAAATATGGGAGGCAAGATGGCCGTTTCTCGCTCGTTTGAGGAAATGCATTCCATGGCGGAATTAGTAAAAGATGGGCAGTAAATGCTCTGTCTGGATTGCTTGCAATGACACCGAAGTTGAAGGAACTTGGGAGTGTGAAGGTCAAGAAGGAAGCGAGCCCTTTTTGGAATGGAATGATTGAGAACCAAATAATTCCGGCAATCAAGATTGTGCTCGGATGGTCTCATATCACCATGACAGAATGGATGACAGTCAATGCAGTCAGTCACACAGGGCCTTTTGCGTTCGTCGAGCTGCTTGCACCCTCGACCTAATCCAACTCCGTCACTAACTCCGCCTCTCTACCGACACTCACGACCGCATTCTCAACACAACCTGCCTCCTCGACCACAACATCCGGGAGTTTATCACAGAGGGCGTGGTCGCCTAAGGACATGTTCGCCTAAGTACTGGTTATTTCTGTCTCTACTCTGAATAGTATACATCGGCTAGTCATGAACATTGAAACCATCTTGGATATCAAGTGAATTGGACAGGAAACGAACTTGCATGCTCCATCTTAGATATGTTTTCTACAAACCTGAACTATCTAAACACAAACATTTCACTTATAGTGACAATTAACTCGTTGTTTCCGCTCTTTAGACAAAAAATACGGCGCTCGAGTTTTTATTTAAAAATAAACAAGGTAAGCAAAAATCGTTCTCATTACAAAAACGACAGAAATTTAATCTAAAAGGAGAAATATAACTGATTGAAATGTTAAGACAGACAAATTAAAACCGAATAACTGTAAATAACTTGTGTAAACTGCATTTTCAAACCATTACAAACAAGCTTATATTTGAATATTTTTAATTTCGTAAATGTTTATTATTAATTGTTGAGGGTGTGACTGTTAAAATTTCCCCACGAGTCTGCTTGTAAATTTGCTTGAAATTACCGACACATTCTGTGGAAGAGTTTGTGTAGACCTGATCATTGAGGTGCAGTAGAGGTTTGTATCGCTTGGATTAGTCAAACTTTTGTGCTTTCATTGTTACTCAATTATAAGAACAAAGAACAACCTCAGAAGTTCCTTCATCGAATAGGGTCTGTAAATGTATATATTGTTTGCAGAAAACTAATACGTAGTTGTCAGATCGGTGTAGTGCATTTTACTTGTATTGGCTATTAATGACAAACGTTACTTATCAAATTTCCTTTGATGTTTACATTCACCGCGTTTGTCTTTCAAATTATAGTTCGAATTAATACTGTATGGTTGTTAACATATTTCAATTCAAATTCAATTAAATTCAAATTCAAATTGAACGGCAATTTCTTTAAAATGCATCACAGTCACCAGTGAAATTAATTTGCAGGTGTCGCACAGCGAGTCGTTCACACGCTACATTAGTTACCCTTGAGCTTCATTAGTTTTCAGCGGAAGTACATTTGTTGTGCTCTGATAAAGTTGAATGGTGTCCGAGTTGAATATTGAGTTTTCTGCGCTTCCCCTGAAAGACAATTAAACAGTGTCACTATGGTAACCGACTGTATGAAGTTGTTTACCATTAAACAAATCGCTGTTATTGCTTTGCCGCGGCTGGGAGTCGTCATTCGAGCCACCGATTCACCCTGTTTCAAGCTTCGTCCTTGTTTCAGAGATACAGATGTGCAGATACTTTGAATAATCTTTATAGCGACCTCTTTACCTCTCCACTCATCATGGCGTTTTGGTCTGAATTTATCGTCATCGTTGCTGTAATTTCATCTATCAAGGCTGTATTTGGCTCTCGGTTCTGCCCATCTCGGCTCTCTGTCAAATGACACTCTCGGCTTATTGTCGAGTGCTCTTGCCCGCCAGAGTGGCAATTGTGGGGGGAAGCGTGCTATCGCCTAACTGAAACACCGGCTACTTGGGATGACAGCTGTAGCGATCCCATCTAATCGATGCATTGTAGCAAGTCTAATCCATGTATCCCAGCATGCATCACTCCTAACATGGCCGCTTACATGTTCGTATGTGAACTCGTGTTGTCGTCTAATAAACCTGGAATAGTTCCCAACATATCGGAGTCTATAACTTTCTTCATGGTGTCAGTAAGTACAGGATTCGTTTCTTAATACATCATGGCTACTTTCGGCAATATTGGAGAGTTTTGTGAAAAGAAAGAGACATGGGAAATGTACACTGATCGTCTCGGCGAATATTTCGCGGCGAACAATATCTCCGACGCAGCACGCAAAAGGGCCATACTCAACTCTGTCGTTGGTTCACAAACGTATAAGCTGATTAGCGATCTTCTTGCCCCTAAGAAACCAAACGAAGCTACATATCAAGAACTAGTGGACAGACTTGAGAAGCATTTCAAACCCACAAAGTCTAGCATCATTGCTCGCTTTCAATTCAACAGCCGCTGTCGGCGATCTGGTGAATCAATCGCCGAATATTTAGCAGCACTACGTGCACTGGCCAGTGACTGCAAGTTTGGCCAAAACCTTGATGAAATGCTGAGAGACAGACTTGTGTGTGGCGTGCAGAATGAACGCATCCAGAAATCCCTGCTTGCCCAACCAGAGGACAAACTTGACCTCAAGCGCACAGTGGAACTTGCACAATCAATGCAGCTCGCAGGTGATCAGGCAAAGATGTTGTCAGCCTCTACCAGCACAATGGCTGAATCAAATACCACTGTCAACGCTTTCAAAAAGAAACAAGCTCAACGCCCAAACAGACCAACATGGTCAAATCAACGGCAGACATCTGCACGCAGTAGTTCTACACAGCATCAAAAGCCCAGAAAACCTTGTGGAAATTGTGGAACTTTTCACAAGAGGCGCGAATGCCCAGCCTATGGCAAGACTTGCCACAAATGTAACAAAAAGAATCACTATGCTGATTACTGCAGAAGCAGCCGCCACGTCTACACAGTAAACCCCGATTCATACTCGGAGGAAGACGAACCTGCCGTGGATGAGCAAGAATTATTTTACGTTCGAGCCGTGGACAACACCAACTTGAACTTGAAACATGACATCCACGCTACGCTTGTGGTGAATAACACACACGTTCCTGTCCAACTTGACACTGGTGCACGTTGTAACGTCCTGCCCATGCATGTTTACAACGTCATCGCACCACCTAAGTCCATTGATAATTCAAAGTCAACCAAGCTCATCGCTTATGGAGGAACCGAGCTCCACACAGTTGGACTAGCTACACTGCCATGTCGCATTGACTCATCGCAGACTGACCACAATATTGACTTTCACATTGTTGACACACAAGTGAAAGCTATCCTCGGCTTAACCGATTGCCTCCGTCTAGGCCTGCTGTCTGTCAATAACTTGGTTT